GTTCTTTGTCTTCTGTACCTTTTCCATTCTCTAGTACACCTAGTTTTTGCCTCCCTACACCTTTGGGTGAACCAAGGACTCGTTCTGTTCTTACCATTATTTCTGTTTCCTTTGGGAACAAACCTCTCCTCTGCCTCCCTGCATTTTGTTGTCACATAGTCCATCATTTCTTGTACTGGTTTTCCTGTAAGTTCTCTCTCCCACTGAATGTCTTGCAGGAAGTTCCTCATGCCTGAGTAGTTCCTCCTTCTGTAGTTTGTTTTTTTCCCATCCTATTCCTGCTACTCTCTCCACTTGAAGCTCAGCTATGTAGTCAAAGCACAGAACCACATGATCACTAGCTCTTAGGGGCCTTTCATACATGATATCCTCAATGTCTGAACTACTCAAGGTGAATAAAAGGCCCAGTCTTGCTGGATCATCCTCACTTCTCTCTCTGGTAGTGTCTCTAACATGTTGATGCATGAGGTTTTCCAGTACCACAACCATCATCTTGGCTCTCCATTTTCAGGACCCCCATGGGGCTCCAGGTTTTCCCAGTCAATCTTGTGATTGAAATCACCCACAACTAGTAACTTTGCTCCCCCCCATGTGAGCTCTTCTGGCCACCTCGGCTAGTGTGTCGACCATTGCTCTGTTGCTCTCATCGTATTCTTCTCTTGGCCTCCTGCAGTTCTGTGGGAGGTTGTACATTACTGCAATTATCACCTTATGGTCCTTAGACCGGATTGTTCCTACTAAGTAGTCCCTTTTGCCCATGCCATCCATTCCTTCCATTTTCTCAAAGCCCCACTGGTTTTTAATGAGCAGTGCAACTCCTCCTCCCCCTCTCCTCCCTCTGTCTTTCCTGAGGTTTTGATATCCAGGTGGAAAGATTGCATCTTTTATCATTCTGGTGAGTTTTGTTTCTGTGAGTGCTATTATGTCTGGGGATGTCTCCTTGATTCTTTCATGCCACTCCTCACACTTATTTGTTATTCCATCTGCATTTGTATACCACACCTTCAACTTCTTTTCTAAGACTGTGGTCTGGGGGTTACATTGGGGTTGGGGAAGTGGGAGACCTGATTAGGAACTATGGGTGGTTACTGTGGGGGTGGAGTTTGTAATGTGGTGGGTGGGGGCATAGGATATGGCATGGGTGTTTTGGGTTAGAATGTTTGGTTGCACTGGGGTTGTTCTGGTTTGGGGGCTTCCATAGGTAGTTGTGAGGGAGGCTGTATTTGATCTTCTTCCTGGGTCTTGGATCTCCTGTCTGTCTCCTTCTCCATCTCCTCTCTTTCGTCCTTTCACCTTTGTACCATCTCTCTCAGTTTCTGCCTTTCTTCTCGTGTTCTGTCGTGGTCGAGATACACCTTCCGGTATGCCGGCATGTCCCTTAGTCTTGCTTTCTCCTGCAGGATCCTGTTCCAAGTCGATTCTGCCTTGAAAGTCACTTTCAAGGTAGAACCTCCTGCAAACCCCCCTATTCTCCGAAAATTTTCCAGCTGGGTCATGTCATCTTCTCCTATTGCTTTTATGGGGCTTTTGATTGCACTTTTCCCCTTGTTTTCTTGCTTCATATGTTTCCCCCTCAACTTCCTGGAGCCCATACACAAAGACTGACCTCTCCCTTTCATTCTCCCACTGCATATCCTTATGTATCCACTGATTCGATTTAATTTCCTCCATTGCAGCTTTCCTTTCTTCAGTTTCACTAGCTAATGTACTTGGGCTCAGTGGCCTGTCATTTTCCCTTCTCGGCTTTCCCTGGGCTCTGCTATGGTCTGTTAGGGCCTCCACATATAGCTTAGCTCTTTCATTTACTACAGTCCTGTCTGATAGGGTTTCTACATGCAGTTTTGCTCCTTTGTTCCCTACAGTCCCCTTGTTTGTGACTGAGGTAGCAGTCTCTGATGTCATTCCCAAATTGTTCTTTAGTTCTTTAGGCTGTTTCAAATTTTACAGTTCCTTTTCTAATCTCTGCATCCTAGCCTCTGCTGCTATGACTTGCATCTCCCACTTCTTGATTTCCATATCTATCCTCTCTTTCATTCTCATGCTAAGTTCTTCTAGTTTCTTTTTCCATTCATGTTCCCTTTTCATGAGCTCTGCTGCCCAATCTTCCTTTGCAGCTTCCTCCTCCTGTCCCTTGGTTTTCCTTCCTGCTCTCTGGCAACCCATTTTTTTTATTTTGATTGCCTCAGAATGGAAAATTTAAGTAATTCTGTGTGTTAGGTTTGTGGGGTGTTTGTCCAAGTGTGGGGGGGGGAGGTAGAGGAGGAACTGTGGACAGTGGATATATGGGAGAGGGGTGGGGAGGGGGATTTAGGGGAAAATATGGGGAGTGAGGAGGAGCAAGAAGCAAGGGGGGGAGAATGGGAGAGGGAGAGGGGGAAAGAGGGAGAGGTGGGGAGGAGGGTGAATGAGAGAGGTGGGGGATCGGGGGAATGAGTGAGAGGTTGGCGGGGGAGGGAGGAGTGTATGAGTCTGTATATGTGGGAGTGTGTGTGTGTGTGTGTGTGTGTGTGTGTGTGTGTGTGTGTGTGTGTGTGTGTGTGTGTGTGTGTGTGTGTGTGTGTGTGTGTGTGTGTGTGTGTATGCATGCGTGCATGTGTGTTGTGTGTGTGTGTGTGTGTGTGTGTGTGTGTGTGTGTGTGTGTGTGTGTGTGTGTGGGGGTGGAACTATGTGTGGGTTTATTAAGTGTCTGAAAAGTAGGTGGAATTGTGCATTGGAGTGTTATGTGGAGTCTCAGTGGTCACTTACCTGACCACAGCCTCTTGTGACCTGACCCCCACCCTCCTGTGACTTGACCCGCACCAACTTACAATACTGCCCTCTATGCTTTTACTACCACCTAGGCTTATAGTAACTTACCTTGTTCCATAAATTACCAATTGCTATTCCTTATTGAATACTTGAGTGCCTATTCTTTATTGTGCTAGGAGAGTTGGACCGTTCACAATCAGCTTGGTGGTTAATTGGAACCGGAAACCCACACTCAAACAACCACGCATAGGTGATTACAGTACTTGCAGTTCAGCTGTAGCAGCCTGTAGATTGTCCAGCTCAAAGTGACATCCTGGCATAGATCCACCTCAGTTTCTCCTCGTTATATAATGTACCCTCTTCACTGTATTTCTTTCACTGGTCACACATTTGTTTAACTTTATTATCTTTCTTGGGTAACACGTGGCAACATCTGAGCACACACACTAGGCCTGCCCACTCTGAATGCACCACCAAGTTTCACTTTCTAGATCACTTACAAATTGTGGCTCTCCCCACACTTATGTGCCTCAGGCAGATTGTAAATCACTTCAAGGATTGTTCACTACCCTGACACACTTAGCGACCCTCGCAGTACACTTGGGTAGCCCTCAAAAACATTTGTATTCGCAGAGCAGGGAAGGCGTGCAGTGTCCCTATGTGTGTGTGTGTGTGTGTGTGTGTACTCACCTATTTGTACTCACCTATTTGTGGTTGCAGGGGTCGATTCACAGCTCCTGGCCCCGCCTCTTCGCTGATTGCTACTAGGTCCTCTCTCTCACTGCCCCATGAGCTCTATCATACCTCGCCTTAAAACTATGTATGGTTCCCTCCTCCACTACGTCACTTTCTAGGATATTCCACGGCCTGACTACTCTACGACTGAAGAAATACTTCCTAACATCCCTTTGATTCATCTGAGTCTTCAACTTCCAATTGTGACCTCTTGTGTCTGTGTCCCATCTCTGGAACATCCCGTCTTTGTCCACCTTGTCTATTCTGTGCAGTATTTTATATATCGTTATCATGTCTCCCCTGACCCTCCTGTCCTCCAGTGTCGTCAGGCCAATTTCCCTCAACCTTTCTTCGTAGGACAATCCCCGTAGCTCTGGGACTAGTCTTGTTGCAAACCTTCAAAACCCCCAATT